GACCTCGCCAATGCATTTGGCTCTGTGCCCCATGAACTCCTGTGGTCTGCCTTCAGATTTTTCCACATACCGGACACCATCACAACCCTGGTGAAGTCGTACTTTCAGGATCTGCAGTTCTGCTTCACCACCTCAGAGTTCACCACCTCATGGCAATGCCTGAATGTAGGTATAATGGCGGGATGTACCATTTCTCCATTGGCATTCATAATGGCAATGGAGGTTATCATCAGATCCTCAAAATGGGTTGCTGGTGGACAGCGAGTCGACTCTGGTTGTCGCCTCCCTCCACTCAGAGCCTACATGGACGACATTACAACATTGACCACCACTGTCCCATGCACCAGGAGACTGCTCAGAAAACTCGAGGAGAACATCAGCTGGGCCCGTATGAAGATTAAACCATCCAAGTCACGCAGCATCTCGATTGTGAAGGGAGTACTCTGTGACCTGAAATTCTTCATCGGAGATGACCAAATCCCAACAGTGTCTGAGCAGCCGGTAAAAAGCCTTGGAAGGTGGTATGATTCAAGCCTGAAGGACAAAGACCAGGTGCAACAGCTGCGCAAAGACATCAGTAGTAGCCTCCAGTCCATCGACAACACCCAGCTACCTGGAAAGTTAAAGGCTTGGTGTCTGCAGTTTGGTCTCCTACCCCGGGTGTTGTGGCCCCTAGCAGTGTATGAGGTTCCAATCTCAACAGTGGAGAAGATGGAAAGAGGAGTCACAGGCTACTTAAAGAAGTGGCTCGGAGTTTCCACGATGCCTTACCACCATAGGCCTCTATGGAGATGGTGTCCTCAAGCTGCCCCTCACCAGTCTAACCGAGGAATTCAAGTGTGCAAAAACCAGGCTCCAGATGACACTGAATGAATCTCGAGACCCAGTGGTGAGCAACAACGCGCCGACCTTGGCAACTGGGCGCAAATGGAGGCCAGGAAAAGCAGTCCAGGAGGCAACAGCAGCCCTGAGACATGCTGACATTGTGGGTCATGTTCAGCAAGGGAGAGGAGGCTTTGGACTAACTAGCCGTGCTGCTTGGAGTAAGGCCACTGCACCAGAGCGGCGGAAGATGGTAGTGCAGGAAGTACGCCATCAGGAGGAGGCTGCAAGGTGGGCCAAGGCAGTCTCTCTTGCCAAACAGGGACAGTGGACTCGATGGGACAGTGTGGAGAAGAGGAAGATCAGCTGGAAGGATCTGTGGGCCATGGAAGCGAGGCGGTTGAGCTTTTCCATCAGATCAACATATGACGTCCTTCCAACACCAGTTAATCTTCACCAATGGTATGGTGAAGATCCGGACTGTGCCCTCTGTTCCATGCCAGCCAACCTCAGGCACATTCTCACAGGGTGTAAAACAAGCCTCACCCAAGGACGCTACACTTGGCGTCACAACCAAGTCCTTAAAAACCTTGCATCCGCCCTGGAGGACAAGCGAACTGCCACCAACTCCCTACCACCCCCAGCAGCATCACACCCCTTACGGACGACCTTTGTCCGCGAAGGGGCTAAACCACCAAAGAGCGGCTCTACACTGGAAAATGCTAGCTGACATTGGCCGGCAACTTGTGTTTCCTCCGGAGATCGCAACCACCACCCTAAGACCTGACATGGTGCTCTGGTCCCGTTCGCTCAAGAAGGTCTTCATCATTGAGCTCACAGTACCCTGGGAGGACTCAGTAGATGAGGCTTATGAACGAAAACATCTGCGCTATGCCGATCTAGCTGCTGAAGCACGGCATCATGGCTGGAACACAGAAGTCCGACCAGTGGAGGTGGGCTGCAGAGGTTTTGTGGCAACATCTACAACCAGACTGCTTAGAGACCTGGGAATTAAGGGCCAGAGCCAGCGTTCGGCAATCAGAGCTGTATCGGAGGCGGCAGAAGGCAGCAGTCAGTGGCTCTGGATGAAGAGGAAAGACCCCAGCTGGGCCCCAAAGTGAGAGGGCCAGGAGGTATGCAGTCAACAATGCTTGACTCAGGGATGAGGACGCCCCTGCCATGCATAGTCCCATGGGATGTTGGCTATCAACAACAAGGCAACTCCTATGACTAATTGGGAATGGGACGCAAGCGTAGGATTGATCACCCTGTCGCTGGCCGCCTTTGGGGAGGGTGTATAGTATGAAAGGCCGAAACACCCTAGGACCCAAAGGTTCACTACTGACGATGCGCTCCCCAAATTTCACCAGGCTCACTGTTCATGAACTCTTGGAAGTGCTTGCACAAAGGATAATAACATCTCATCCTGTGTTCTTTGGAATCCCAATAGAGATGCGAGACTAATCTACGCTTTCCTGGATAAACAATGACATTGCTTCCCATTGTGATAGGCAAATTGTTTTATGATTTCGACCAACATCAACGAGATCTAACACAAAACAAGCCTATATTATGGGTTATATTGGTCGTGAAAGCCTACGTATGAAACTGAATTATTTAGATTAAATAAAAGTGTATGAGTTCCATCAGAAATCAGAAATCAGAAACGGTTTTAATCGCCATGTAAGTTTGCACAAACAAGGAATTCACTATGGCGGGACGGTGCATACATTGAACAAGTAGGAATCTTAACTTATATAAAAGGTATACACTATAACTATACTAACGTTACAAAGTATAAGTAATACCAAAGGGCTAAAATCTTTAAAATTATGAATAAGTAGACCTTATAAAATGCGAATGTAAAATGTTAATTAGCCGTATTAAGCAATCTTAAAATACAAAAATACAAATAAGATTACACGTTGTAAGTATGGAAAGGTGTTATTATGTAGATAAAATGTTATAGTAAGTGTAACAGTCATTTTAAGTGTAAAAGTAATTTTAAGCCCTTGGCCTTGTTGAGGAGGCCAACAGCAGATGGGAAAAAAACTGTTTTTATGACGTGAGGTTTTGGTCTTGATGGACCGCAGCCTTCTGCCGGAGGGGAGTAGCTGGAACAGAGAGTGTCCAGGGTGCGAGGAATCGTCCGCAATCTTCCTCGCTCGCTTCAGGGTCCTCAAAGTGTGCAGGTCCTCAAGGGTTGGTAGATTACAGCCAATCACCTTCTCAGCAGTGCGGATGATACGCTGCAGTCTGCTCTTGTCCTTGGCAGTTGCAGCAGCGTACCAGACGGTGATGGAGGAGGTGAGGATGGACTGAATGATAGCTGTATAGACGCACACCATCATTGTCTTTGGCAGATTAAATTTCTTCAGCTGCCGTAGGAAGTACATTCTCTGTTGAGCTCTCTTGATAAGGGAGCTGATGTTCAGTTCCCACACCACCCCAGCGATTCAAACAAATCCACGATCAAGCTTTGTATTTCAGGCCACGGCTAACTTCAATGGTGAGCGACAGCCGAACTGGTCCTGACACCTATAGCACCTGCACTCCTGCCTCTACTTACCAGGGCCATAGCCAATAACGCCCCCCCCCCCACTCACACAATCGACACGGCGTGGGGAGGGTTTTCATCCAGAAGTGGATTGATTAACGAAACCTAAACTAATTGTATTTTTACAGGTAAGGAGCCGTCCATAAATGACGTCACGCACCTAAGGGGGGGGGGTGTCAGACATTTGTGACGAGAGGGGGGGGTTTGAGAAATGTGACGTCACATTAAAATGCGCAACTTTAAATAAGTATATACAACACGTTCTACTTAAATTTTGATGTAAAGCTTTCGTGACTACAGGGATTCATATTCTTGGTTCTTTCGGTAAAGTCACGTAGAAGGGACTTTACCGAAAGAACCAAGAATACGTTCTACTCAATTAAATAGACTTTTTAATAAATGTTTTCTCTTATAACATCAGAGTGCAGCGCCACATTAAATACGCACTGCAAAAGCATGTTTTTTTTTTTTTGGGAGGGGGGGGGGGGGGCAGAGCTTTTTGGCGTCATATTTAGGGGGAGTCTCACTTTTTGTGACGCCGTGTGAAGAAGGGGGGGGGGTCAAAAATCGTCCAAGATCGCGTGACGTCATTTATGGACGGCCCCAATGAAGTTTGCTTATCACGTGGTAAATGTATAGTCACCAAATAATCTAGAAAACATCTTTCTAAATTTTAGAGTGGCCCGGAGAAAAATCCACGCGACAACAGGGAGAGAGACGTTCAAACTCCAAATATACAGCAGCAGGCGTCAGGGTCGGGATCGTACACACAACCTCCTGCATACCAGGCGAGGTAGTTAACACATCACCACCGCGTCAAAAAAGGCTGAAAAACATTGAAATGTCACAATTGTCATTGTCATTGCTAATTGCGCACATTGCCACGGTCGAAAAAACAACAAAACACGTTTGTGAGCGCAGAGGGTGCCGTTGCGCTGCTGATGAGACCCGAGGGGGTTGGATGCGCGCGTGTTCGCGGGGCTGTTAGGATGACTCAGCCTGAAATGGGTACCTGGCGAGGCGCGGTAGTGTAGAGGTTGTGTATATGTTCTGTGTGTTGAACTTCTTTCGCACTGAGCTTAGCCAAACGTGCTAATCGGAGGTGCGAGCTAGCGCGTCGCGCTACGAACCCAGCGACCCGAGTTCGTTTCTCGATAAGGGCCAACACCAGTGACGAATATCTAAACCGGTACCGAGCCTCTCCCTTAGGTAGACTCAGCCTCAAATGAGTTCGTGGTGCAGTGGGGAAAACGCCGCCGCCAGGGAGACAAAGGCGGCCGGGCGTGGTGTCCCGTGCCGACCTTCAAAGGTGCTCCCTAACAGCACTTGCAGGTTATAGGGGGGCTTATTTCGATTTAAAGCTTCCGTGACTGCAGGGATTCATCTTCTTGGTTCTTTCGGTAAAGTCACGTAGAAGGGAAATAATAAAATAATAAAAATTCTACATAATAAAATACAATTCTCACCAGGGGCAAGTGCTGTTAGCAAGCAGCACCTCACCATCTCACCAGAATTGTATTTTATGTTTAATTTTTATTATTTTATTATTATTTCCCTTCTACGTGACTTTGCCGAAAGAACCAAGAATATATACGGGGGGTGTTTGTTTGTTATGATGCAGACGGCGGTGGCACTCAGGGCGCGCGCGTGCTCGTGTCAGGCGCGAGGCGTCGCTCCCACGGGAGCCGAGCGCGTGTTGGAGGAGGGAGATGCCCCGGGGTGCACACGCGCACCGGTTGAGTTCCCTGCAGGTGAGACGTGTAAACATCGCCATTGGGGAGACAAAGGCAGCCGGGTGTGTCGCTGGCCACTCACACACCCTCGTGTGTGATTCCGGCTTTCACAGGTGCTCGCTAACATCACTTGCCCCAACAGTCTGATAGGGGCTATACGAATGGAGATATGTGGGAGCGGTGAAGCAGCGGTTAGCGATTCGAACACAGTGGACCCCAGTTCGATTGCCTGCTCACCGCTAGCTCACAGAAACGGATCCATATCTGAACAGCTCTTGGGCCCCCTCCCTAGGTCGACTCAACCCCAAATGGGTACCTGATGCGATGTGTAAACATCAGCATTGTGGAGATAAAGGCGCCCGAGCGTGTCGCAGGTCACCCACGCAATCGTGTGGGCCTTAATTGGTGTTCGCTAACAGTACTTGCGTCAACAGCTTGTTGAAGGTTATACGGGGGATCTTTGTATCAACGAGTTGTCGTTTATTTTGGCAACATTGGTTCAGCACAACCAAACCCTGGACTCGTTTCGACATTCAGTGTATCTTTATTTGAAGCTTTCGTGACTGCAGGAATCCATACTCTTTGGTTCTTTCGGTAAAGTCACGTAGTTAGAAAAAAAAATCACGACGTTTCGATCGCAACACAATGAATCGTCATTAGGTGAAAAAATACAGCAGGCGAACATCTGACGCTTCAGCAGTTCGCCTGCTGCGATCGAAACGTCGTGATTTATTATTTTTTCTACCTCCGTGACTTTACCGAAAAAACAAAAAGTATTCAGGGCATCATCAGTAGTTAGTCTTGCTTGAACTGCCAGATGTTTCTATACAATGAGCCTCTCTTTCTTGTGAGATATGGGTCCCTAGTTGAAAGCAAATGCAGTTCTTTCTAACACATAATTTATGACAATTTGTTTCGGGCTTGATATCGGTCCATGTCTACATGCATGCGTGAAGAGTCGTTCTTGTGTCTATGTATGTGTGTATGTCTTTTGCGTGTGTGTGGAGTGTGGTAGTTTAGTGGTTAGTGCGCTGCGCTACGAACCCGGCATAGAGTTCGATTCCCGCTCATCTAGGTTGACTCAGCCTTAAATAAGTACAGCACCTGGTGGTGTGTAAACATCAACACTGGGGAAACAGAGGCAGCCGTGCGTGGTCCTGGCCACCCCACCCCCTCGTGTGCCGTGCCGGCTTTCATAGGTGCTACTCGCTAACAGCACTTGCCCTAACCGTCTCTTAAGGCTACACGGGTGATCTTTGTATTTTGTTTGTGCCCGAGGGCGAGCTGTGTGCGTGCCCTGTAGCCATGGCTGGCTTTAATGCTCCGTGCTGGGACGCCTCGACACGCGCCTCTCTGCCAAGCTGTGTGCCTGCACTGCTCGGTGGACTCTTCCTGAGACGGCCTCACCAGGCCAGGCAATGGTGCCATGCGTAGGTGCATCGCACTGCGAACAATTGATAACAATCATCATCGAACACGGCCATGTGAATTCTTAGACCATACTTCAACACTCTGGTCAGTGAGATTTTGGTGGCCGATACGACTGGTTGAGGTATCATTCGCTGCGGATTCCTGTGGTCGGGCATTGAAATCAGAATTCCAGGTTCATAGCGCAACATGCTAACCACGGTGTAACTGCTCCACCGCTTACGAATTAAGTTAGATGATTTAAAAAATATATATTTATTGGCCTCTCGTGGAGGCGATGAATATTCCACGGAAGCGCCCTTAACAAACAGTGCCCATTCCCATCCAGTCGTCTTTCTAATAAATGTTTAATTTGTATTTTGTGGACAAATTCACGGAGCGCTGCTCTGGTTTGTTCCAATCTTGCGACATCACTCCTGGCGCTGCATACCTACGACCAACCCACTATGAATGCGCCCTGTCTCGTCAGATAATGCACAAGCAAAGCAGATTTCAAGATGTTGAGTACTTGGATGGGTGACTGCATAGGAAGACCGGGTTTTGTGGGCTTAGGGGGCCAGTTTATCAGGACATGGCAGTACAGCAAATCCGTCTGCGCGGACCTCTGATAGGTACTCTGTTTTCCTCCCATATGCCACACACTCAGTAATGGATTTCCTCAAACATCTCATGATAGGACCTGCAGGAACAAATATAGACTTAAGTAGCGAGGCTGTCCTGAGTAAAGGACATTTAGTTACAACTGAACGATTGCGAGGGGAGTGCTGTCGCCGATTTATGTTGTACGCAAATTAAGATCAAACACTAAGCACATATAGTCGTAGGTTTTTACCCTTTTAAACTGGTACAAAACTGACACCTTTATTATCATTATCAGAGTTGCCTCTTTTTGTTTGCTTTTTTGACTACTTGTGTTGTGGTTATTGCAAACATGATGCCTTGAATAAAGGTGTTAGTTTTGTACCAGTTTAAAAGGGTAAAAACCTACGACTATATTTTGCCACTGGTAAAAGAGATATCATAGTGACTAAGCACATAACATGCTAAGCGGTACCGTACACATCTAAATGTTAGTGAAACGCTGGTAAACAAAAAAAAATCCCTAACCATTGTACACGTTCACATTTGTACATCTTAAGAAGTTTACTCTCCAAACCACCCGGTCATGGAGAAGTGCATAGAATGAAAGACCGCGGCAAAAATCCTGACGGCTCAGAGCATCCGGGATGCCGAAACCGGACCTTCGTGGGGTCCAGAACTGAGCCGCCGCCGCTGCGCTGGCGAGGGGGGCCGATTCCCCAGTGGTCATGGGGAACGATGCGTGGCGACGGCGCTGAGGCTGGGCCGCGTGTGGAGCCCCCCGCGCGTGGCGGGACCGTGGCCCCGTGAGTGGCTGACGGCTGGTGAACGCGAGGTTCTCTCAGCCGGGGTTTCCATCTCCAACGGTGATGGTGGTGGTGGGGGGGGGGGGGGCTGACCCTGCCCCCTCGTTAATTTAAACTGGCTCCCCGCCGCTGGTGTGGTCACACGAGGCTGCATGGGGCCGCGATGACAAACGCAGCAGCGGCAGCCGCGGCCGCAAACTTGACCACAATTCATGATGCAGAGTTGTTCGTCCGATCTGCGAGATGTTGGTTGAAGTGTATTATTACCGTATTGATAATACACGTATGCATTTTCTATACATTAATATAATTGTGGATGTGGTGGCCTCAAATTGCTGCAGATGTTACTTGAGCCCATTACATAATGTACTGCTGGATGAAGACATCGCATTGATTATTTGACCATACTTTACCACGCTGGTCAGTGTGGGTTGGTGAAAGTGGGGAGCATAGACGTGGGAGTATAGAAGTACAGTACAACAATGGATGTTGCCGCACTGCCCCATGTTGCCAACAATGCAGCCTCGCAGAAGCCTATAGCACCATTTTTTGCACAACGGCCTAGGGTACCTGTTGTATCCTAACCCTTCTTCCATAATTGAGATTAATAATATTTGATGATTTTTATATATTATCTTTTTACTTGTTTTTTTAATGATTGAAACACACCAAGCGCAGCAAACTGCAAAACACCAGGTGTTGTTAAGTAATGAACTGGAGGAGGGCTAGGATGGCAGAATTTGCAACCTTGCTTCAAGGAAAGATAAGGCCTGATGAACGGGCACATGTCACCCGTGCAGGCGGCAGAGACAGTGGGAGTGTCAGCCAGACATAGTTAAGGCAAAAAGCCCAACCATCCTGCATGGTTTTAAAGTAACGTCAAAATTCGAAATTCAACAACAGAGTAGGCTAAATTATCGATCCTCGCGCTCGCTCAAATTGGAGACCAGGCTGCGAGCTACATAAATGAACCATTGCCCATTTGCTAATCCAATACTGAATGTTAATATTACTGAAGTCAAAACGAATTCTATGACCTCAGCACATGGGCAAATAATAGGGCAGTGTCGACTCAAAGGCAATGAAAGAAAACAGAGGCGCCTTTGTCTAAATCACAACCACAGAAAGCCAGGAATCATCACTGATTGTGTGTTCAGGGATTCCGAGCTAGTTAGAACACGTGCACAGGGGGGGGGAGCTGATGTAAACAACCCTGCGCGTCTGAATGTGAGGGGGCCTTGGACCTGGAATCAAGAATAACACTCCCAGAGCAGAAGGTTGGACAGGGGGAGAGGTGATTTAAAAGAGTGTTGTATATCTCTCAAGGCGGGCAAGACCCAGCTGAGTAACAAGTCTGCGGGGGTCACCAGAAGTTCGCATTCGCCTAGTTAAGACAAAAAGCTCAATTATTCTGTATTGCTATTAAAGTAACGTTAAAGTCGGAATTTAACAACAGGGTAGGCTAAAGTTTGATATTCACACCCACTCCAATTAAACCAGGTCACAAGTTACGCCTACTGAACCATCACCATCATTAAGTCAATGTGAAATGTTATTTCCATACTTCAATACTTTCTATACAACTCGACCCGAAGCATATGACAATCAGAACCTTCCTAAGTCAAAATTGAATCGCACCCAGACAGGAGCGAATAGTCGATATAAGGTTGACGAGGGAAGGAAATTAAGAGCACGGCGAACTGCAAACGTAAGCAAAAAGCCGGGAACAACACCAGCCCAGCAACAGCGAGTGGGGCTTCGACAGGCCATAAAGTAGAATAATAACTCCCGGGGTCAGGGGACACAAGAAGAAGCAGGCAGACAAAAACCAGAACTGACTCCAAGGTTCAACCGCCCTCACCTACTCAGGAGTGACGGAAATTAATGAGGCCTTGAATTAACGGCAGCTGGACGGCAACAACAACGGCGAGCAGAGATAGGGTGGGGCAAAGACTGCGGGCTATGAATGCAACTTCGTGTCAGTAAAGCCCTGACAAACAAGTTAAGTTAAAGACATCACAATACATAATATCGCACATAACATCAATGTTAACGCTATTCACCGTAAACTATATTCCGCTTATATAACCATCCAGGCACCAAGGAATACGAATTCCTAGGATCAAGAAACTTACCCCTTAACCTAAGATATCGGAAATAAATTAATAGTAATAAGTATATGCATGAAAAGACAAAGTAAAACTT